CCCCGGCATGCCCCGGCATGCCCCGGCGCACAAAACCAATCACAAATCGGGTCTCAAATTCAACTCTTTTACATAGGCATGAGCTGTTTGCTGCATTGCTGGCGGTTTTGCTCACTGGAACAATCATGGGACTAGTGTAAGGCTACGTGACGCGGATTCTGTCAGCCCGTGGTTTTTCCGCCCTTGGCTGACTATCTATATATATATACGTATATATATATATATATATTTGTGTGGCGCGGTCGGCGTATGAGAATGGACTGGGCTCTTCAGCCGTTTTGCCTAGGCTTTCCGCTCCTTCCTCCACAGCTTGCTCTACGCCGCCAGCCCTGAGAAGCCGGGGCACCCGTGGGTGCTCAAGAGGGAGCTGTCTCCACAGATTTCCCCGCTTCGATGGGGAGATCAAGGGCCCAACAGAGTGACCTGGCCAACGTGCAAGCAAGGGGGGCTTCGACTCAGCAAGCAGCTGGAAAAGGGGCGATCTAAAATGCTGTATGACGGGGAAGTGTGATGCCCTAGCCCAACAACACAATTCTTTCATGCCAGACTGGAAATGCATGGCGTCGGACCGGACGGGAGGGTGAACGCGCAGAAAATGCTGGACACAAACCACCGCAGGGAAATGATGCAAGAACCGCCTAGTGCCGATGTGCGTGCGTTAAAAAAGACATGCGTGCCATTGGGCCTTTGCAGTTTGCTTCGGGGAGCGATAGCTACGTACCTGCAACTGACAAGTACCAAGCACAATATGTTTAACTTTAAGCATCCCCTGAAACACAAAGGTGGCCTAGCATTCCATGTATGGCTCCGATTCCCCCATCCCCCTTAGGCTTTGGGCCATGTCTAAGCAAGACAAGGTCTCTTCTTGAACGTTAGGAATGTGTGAGCGGGCTCCACTGCACAGACTCGCTTCCCATTGGGCAAGACTTAGACAAACAGGGCCGCATTGGTGCAAACAAGTGTTGCGCAGTAGAGGTACTCGAAAGTAGGGGTACTCAAAACCCGCGTTCAAAGCAGAATCCAACATGAAAACGTTGGAACGATTGCTCAAGAACAAAAAGGGACATCCTTTAAAGCAGAGTCTTTCGCCAAGGCTCATCGTCAACTTTGTCTCTGAGACCCCGCTGCCGCCTCCAGGCTCCCTTGTGCAGGCAAGCCGCTGGGTTGAGTCTGTTGTCTTTAGAGTTGGGCTCACCGGATTCGGACACAACATGCCCACCCCAAGTTCAAATACATTAACAGAAGGCTTGAAGGGGGGATGCGATTCGACACTTAAAGGTGCTCTCTCCAGCTGGCGAGACCTTTTCCAGTTGTTCCGGGACTCAACGTGCACTAAATGGGGGGCTTCCATTGGCCCTGTTGGAAGGCTAGTGCAACTGGTGGCCCCCCCCCCCCACCGTGGCACGAATGCGACTGGATCAAGCGCAAGAGAGTTGTTGCACATTCAATGGGGCCTGAGCTACGGTGCCTTAGGGCAAGGAGGCGACGGAAAGCCCGCTCGAATTCGAACTAAACCCATCCTAAACCCTGCTAAACCTTCCCCGCCCCCAAAAAACACACACCCTAAGCCCACCCTAAATCAGGGTAGAACGAGCTCAAGATTCTTCACTGGAGAATTGCGAGCTATTTCCAATTTGCAACCTCCACTCCCCAAAAGAAGCCCAAAGATTTGGCCAAGCGCCCGAAAAGCAGCAACCCTCCCACAGACGGCGGCTGAAAGCCGCAGCACAGATGTGATCGCTGCCGCCAGATCACCTGTTTTGGATTTGAATTTCGCATCCAACCTTCCTGAATCCCTGTTTGACCTTCAGGTCCACCATCTATTGAAGTAATCCTTTGAATACATGGCTTGACATACTATTGACGTTCGACCGTGTCAAATCCCCTTGTCTATAGGCACCCTCAACAATTGACCACGGTAAACCAACCCTACGTGAGATCAGTACCCGTGTCCATACACCAATCAAACTGTGGATACTGATCAGTATCCAAATACCATCCAAAAAACACCATGATACTTTGAATGGTCAAAGACCTACGGATCAGTACAGGCACCCTGAACTATTGACAATGGTAAACCAACCCTACGTCAAATCACTCCTCCACCAAGTTCTCTACCGCTCTTGGGTTGTATCTTTAGCCTTCAACTTTTTGGATTCCCCTCATATTTCCATTGACAATGGTAAACCAACCCTACGTCAAATCACTCCACCAATTTGGCTATGGCTCAACAACATGTTCATCAAAATGGCACCCTAGCAAAGTAGAAAACCAAAGACTATAACTGGCGTAACCCTGGCTCGATTTTTTTTGAGCCACGCCCATTTCACCTGGCTCGGCTTTTTGTTTCTTCCTCCGCCGGCGGCCACCGATCCGCCGATCCACCGCAGGTCTCGCTGCCTCAGGCGGAGCTGGAGCTGCGCAGCCCGGCACCGTGGGAGGCCGAGCCAGGCGGAGCGAGGCGGCCGTGCATGGCTGGCGGGTGGAGTTCCTTCAACTTGATGTTTGGTTTTTGTTTGGTCGCTGGAAGCAAGCTAACAGGCACTTTCGCTGCGAGGCGACAAAGTTGTGCCTGTGTTCTTGACAGCTATTGGGTTGGGTCTTTAGACTTTAACTTTCTAGGTTGAAATCAAGGGGGGTTCAAACTAAACCCCCCCAAAAGTGATTCGCTGTTTGTAGGGGGGTCAACGGCAACCAAGTCAACTTCCAGTTGCGGAAATGATTTGAGTAGGGCTGCAACTGCTTTTGTTTGTGTTTCTGTGTGTTCTGTGTGTGTATGTGTTTTTTGTGTTTGTTTCTTTTCTTTTCCATTTTTTTTTTTTTTTTTTGGGGGGGGGGGGGCGGGGGAGTGGTTCATGTTTTCCATTTGCTGAAATGCGTGTGTATGGTATTTTCCCTTGTTGGCTTTAATCGGAATAACATGCTTCACACTCTGGAACATTTAGACTTTACTTGTGTGCACGTGTCTTGCGGTATACGCATACACATTTTTTTGAAGATCGATATAGCTGCACAAGCCCCAAGCTTGAGTGGGTGTACCCTCTTACAGCGGCAACAAGAACTGGATCTTGCAAAGACTTGAACGGAAGGCGGAACCGCCACAAATTCCAATCCGCCACACTTACCCTCACAAGCTAGCTTCTTCGGCTCACCATCGCACTCCAGCTTGCTACTGGCTGAGGTGTGCATGCGATCTTTTCATGTTCCATATCAATTAAAAAGTGCCCCCAAATCTCCCAGCAGGAAATGTGCGCTAGTTGAGACCTGGGCATAGGTTATCGGTGCGCTGGTTCTTGTATTGTCTTGTGCTGCCATCGCGTGCAGGGGACTGGACGGGTTAGAGGACCCCTTGGTAAATAGATGATTGCAGGATGGATGTGATGAGCCTTGGCCGCCCAGGAATCAACTTCCGCTGCTCGACCTGCCGGTGAGGCCGGGCAACATGAGGGGACGAGCCACCGCTTGTCAGGATTCCCCCCATATAATGAGCCAATGGCCAAAGCAAAGAGACAACTACCGGCAGCCTCAATCAAATTCGGAAGCCTGGAATTCCAATTTAGTTTCATATGTTCCCTTTGCGATGCAGACTGTATATAAATGGAACTGCGGGGCCAGTTTCCGGAAGTTCCGGAAGGACAAATTGCAAACTCGTCAAGAACAGCAAAATCGTCGTACCGAACTAGCCACTCGGATTTTACACACCCTCAAGCGGCAAGAAAACGGCTTCTGGACCTCCGAGATTGTTTGGCACGCGCTGGGCGGCCGTCCTCAGCCCAAAAACTGGCAGCAAGCACGGCTTCGGCGCGGCTTGACTGAAAGGTCTGGCCTAAAAAGTCCTTCAGCTCATAGCTCAGACGGTTTTTTTGCGTCCGGATTCTAGTCTTTAAAAGGAGCCCTAGGGTCCCAGATGGTTTCCACTACCTCAAAATTCCTACCCCCAATAATTCAAAGTGAGATACAACCACGAAATAGGCAATATAGGGTATATATGATGCCATTTTTCCCTCATTCTTGCCTTGACTTTAGCGCTTTAGCATGTGGGAGCCCTCCGAAAAGTCGATCTTCCAAGCCCCGAAGCCCCGCGTTTCACTTCTCCTTTTCGATCCACCTGCCGGACAGGCTGATGTTCCAGAAGCTCACCCCAGATTGTGTGGTGTCCCTCGTGGAGGCCTGGCGAAGGGCTTTCCGGGTGTGGAAAAAAGCCGACGGGCTGAGGTCGACCTGGACCCTCAAACTGCCCCAATTGAAGAGGGAAGTCGCCCCAGAATGCGGGCATTCCATTGTGAAGGGCATTTTGAGGGTCCAGGTACGCCATTTTGAGGGCATTTTGAGGGCAAGATTCCATTTTGAAGGGCATTTTGAGGGCATTTTGGTACGCCCGCGCTTCGTTGCGTCGTTGGCGCTCATGGGATTCGTTGCGCGTTTCGCCCAGGCCTTACTTTTGGAGCAACGGATCGTTCTTTATTCGCAGTGCGCTGGCCTCAGCTCTGCTGGGCTCGCGTGCGGCGTGCCCGGTTTGGCAGGCGTGAGGTCAGCCCAAACACCACCTGGGTATGGATTGTTGTCTTCCATTTGCTTAAGAGTATGTCTTATTTTCCCCTGTTGGCTTTAAATGGAACCTACCACCACTGGACTTGTATTTTTGTCCAGGGCTTTGAAGCAAATGGATGGTTGTGGAAATCAAGCGAGCTGATCCGCCTGCTTCTCCAGCTTGGGAAGCATTCAGGGTTCGAACGGGATGGTCTCCGGCATTTGGCGCAAAGCTTTCAGGCCGAGCGGGTTGAAACATGTCACTTGCGCGTACTGGCAGCTGACGGAGTGCGAGCAACGAGCCATAGATCCTCCAACATACTTTCCCTCCACGTCTATCTGTGGGCACGTGCTACTAGCTCCCCTAGTAGTGCCCTTTTACCAACTTTTTTGGGGGAGAGCCCTCCCCTACTAAAATAAACTACAGACAAAAGTTGGTACCCTTATTCTGACCTCTCTACTGGAGGACCTAGAGACTACTTACAGAACTCTTGCAGGCCGTTTTCACGGGAGCCATGTGACGTATGGCAAAGTCCTCCTCGTCTTCCAGTTCCTCTTTGTCCAGCCAGCGCAAGCGCAAGCGATCCTCTTCAAGTCGACCGCAGCGCTCCTCTCGCAGGCCGGGGTGGGCCAGCTACCATCATTCAGTCTCCGAAAGCATGTTTATGGCTGATGTCAGCATTTTGCTTCAACCAAAGAACTCACACAGTCAGATGTACCTCCACTGCTTAGCTTTTGGAGAGGACATGTTTCTGTTTCAAATTTTCTTCCCATCTTGGCAGGCGCTCACCCAGCCGCCGGCGCGCCCCCGGCCGCCGGCGCTCACGCAGCCGCCGGCGCTCGCCCAGCCGCCGTTCCCGGCGGTCCCGCAGCCGGCGACGCGAGCGCTCCTCTGAGTCGTCCTTCGACTCGGGGCGCGCGTCCCATGGTTGTTGGGAAGCATTTTATTTTACGTGTTGCTTCTTGTGGTTTAGTGGCTGAATTCCAACCACTTCACTGCCAAAAGTTAGTTTGTTTTGGGTTTCCCCTTCCAAAGTTTTTCAACTTTTGCTCCCCTTCCAGGCTTCCAACGTCCACCAAGGTCCCCGACGTTGGGGCAGCGGAGCGCGCCGAAGCTGGGGATTCTCTACTGGGGCTGCGGCTTGGAGGGCCGCGGCTGGGACCTCACGGGCCGCAACCCGGGCGGCTTCCCACGCATAGATCGGAACTCCGACGCGCTGGTGGACAGCTGGAAGGGGCGCATGGAGAATGCCCAGGCAGCCGGACGGGGCTCAGATGTCTGGAGATGTACCTATAAATATGTATATATACGTGTATATATTCATATGTGTAGTTATTATATTTTTTGGAGGAAGGGATTGCGCAACCGTGACCCACCCTGTGGCAACTGCTTCTCGCCCAGCCAGGTGACTTTGCGCATGTGTGCCTCTGAAGGGCCTGGCTTCAAGAGATACGTCAAGCACTTCATGATGCTCAGCGCGCAGGCGTGCGTTGAGTTCCGGCTGCAGCAGTACCACCGGCACAACACCGCGAATCGCCGGAAGGTCCTTACGGAGCGCATCGTCATCGGGGGGATCCTGGAGACCTACCAGCGGCGTGCGCTCAACACGGGGATGCGCATCAGCAACGGAGAGGCCGGCTACCTCTCCTTCCTCAGGAGGCGCTGCAAGCGCTACAAGGCTCAGGCACAGGGAAGTCAGAGCACACCGCAATGACTTAGATCAACGCGTTCAAAACAGAAAGTGCACTTTGCGTGTCCATCTTTCCACAGCTTTCCGAAACACTCACGACACCGCAAGGGTCGAAAAGTCAGGTGGCTGTGTCTTTTTCAATTTCGAACTCCCAACCTGGGTGGCTTTCCTGTCATTTTCCTCAAAACCGCCCAAAAGGAGATACCAACAAAAAGATGGGCCACCCATGAAGTTCCTTGGGCCCCAGTCGCGTTCCAAGCCTGCAGAAAGCGAGGCGGCCAAGCTGGGTGGTCACTTCGCCGCGGTGATCCTGGAGGGCGGCCACCCGGAGCTCACCTTTCAACACGCCGCGCGCGCGAAGGAAGGTCTGCCGGGCAGGGAGAGGCAGGGGCTCAAGCGGCTGCTGCTGATCCTGGGTGGCCCTGATGGCGTTCCTGCGCCTCAGCTCAGCTTTGTTGGGTAGGGAGGAGCTGTGGAGCTGTATTGGGCAACAGGGGATGGAGGGGGGGGGGTGGGCGGGGTCTCGGCTGTCTCAATTTGTCCTCCCCTTTGGAGGCTTTGAAGGCAAGAAAATGCATGGGGGGGGGGGGGGAGCGTTGGGGCGTGGGGGCGTTGGTAAGTGGGGTGCCGGCCTGGGTCTGAATTCTGTGTGTCTCATTTGTTCCTCCAAAGCAAGAAATGGCATGGAGACGCCCAGGTGGTTGTTGAAGCTTGTCATGTGCCTTTCTTGCAGCGAAAGGATCCATCTAATGGAGGAAGCTATTCTGTTCAGGTCGAGATGTGAATCAGACCTTGTTTCTACAATGGTTGCTTTGTTTTGTCGAGGTGCATGCGTAGCAATTTTCGGCAAACCTCGAGGCAGTGTTCAACACCAACATCACCAGCATCTAGCATGGCCACTTGCATGACCTTTGGCACGATCATTAGCATCACCACTAGCATCACCAGAAGGCTCTGTGCTCGAGCTTGGTTTGAGTTCCTTTGGACTGACTTTGGGGTCGGTTTGGGCTTGGTTTAGGGTAGGCCTTGATTCTCCGTCCGTCGCACCAGCATTCCCAACACCAGCAGACTGGAGTTTGACAAGGCTCGGTGACTTGGCTTGGGGTTGGTTTCGGATGCTTCAGGTTGCTGTCCCGGAGAACCGTGGTTTGAACGAGCGTGCCCCCCCAACACCCCCCCCCCCGCAAAAAAAAAAAGCCTTTTGGGTTGCGATCCCACCGGGAAGCGATCCCACACCTTCGATCATTTTCCGTGGAGCTCAAGAATCCTTGAGGATCAGACGCGAGTTGAACTGCGACGGGCCATTGAGGAATACACGGACTACCCTTTACTTGGGCTCTCGTTGCCGGGCGGCATCTTGCACTCCTACTACGCTTTAGCCACAGCACCTCGCCTAGACGTGTTCGACAGGAGGGTCGGACGGGGGGGGGTGGGGTGGGGGAACTATGCAGATGTGCCGCAAAGTTCAAAGGGCAATGTTCAAAGCGCTTGAGGTAATCCGTGCAATCGTGGTGCCTACCACTAATCCCTTCCTCCTTAGGAATGAATCCCCCATTAAAGAACATATCGGAGAAGCATAAGGGCGTCGCGTCCCGAGTTCCGGGTTGCTGCACTCAATTCATGTATGCTGCACTTCTGGTGGGAGGTGAAGTCCAGGGCACTTCAATAAAGGATTTAAACCACTCGATTGGTTGCTTCGTGTCCTAAGGACAGGTTTCAGTTTGTGTTCGAGTCTTGGGGTCTTGGAGTGTGAGAGAGAGGGACGGGGCAGTCAGACGGTGGTTTGGCTGACGCAGCGAGTCCCCGACTGGAAGGGAGGTATTGATCTGGGCTATTCTAATTTCGTATTTGGGCTCCTGGGGTTTTGGAACACATCTTTTATTAGGGGACCTGTGTTAGGGGTAAGAGATTATTTGGAGCGCGAGCCGGAAGCAGAAGCAGTCGGAGATCAGTACGTTAAAACGATTTGAACCCGTACATGTACTCAGCCAGTAGTTTGAACTGTGGGCTGGACGGGTTACCTGTGGAGGTGGAGTAATACCAAAAGACAGGTTGATATGTTTGAGTGTCTTTGTGTGTTGCGGGTGCCGTGTGTGTCTTATGTAGCAGGCCGACTCCAAACAGGATGCTTCCGCATCAAATCGGTACGTGTCAAAATAGGGCATCTCCCCAAATTGATACGCAAATTGTTGCATTTTACAGTGAAATGTTGGTATTTTACAGTGGGATGTTGGTATTTCCCTTTGGTTTCGTTTTAAGTCCGACCCCAAGGCGCACCCTGAAAAAGACACTCCACGACTTCGCGCTTGCGAGTCGACTCGTCGACACGACTTACCTTGAGATCCCCATGCTGCGGGTGCCAGGTGCTGGTCTTCCATGATCAGGCCCTGCTCCTACCCTTCCTGGAGCAGCGGCTGAAGGACCAAAAGGCACCTTTGAAATCGTTAGCGTCAAGTCTTCATGGCCTTTTGTTTAACGGATCTTTGGACTTTAAGATTGCGGGAAACTGGGGATCTTCCAAAAATTGGACGGGAGGAACAAGCCTAACACTTTTTTGCAGAGAGGCCGTTTTACAGCAACAAGACGTCACCCAGGTTCGAGACCTCGCAGCGCGGATGTTTTTTTTTTTTTTTTTCTGGGCTGGCTGCCACTCCTCATGGCTGTCTAGGTCCCCCGGCTAGGTGCCAACTTTTACCGTGTCTTCTTTGCGGGAGGGTTCCCCTACTAAAATAGACTACAGAAAACAGAATGGGTACCCTATTCTAACCTCGCTACTGGAGGACCTAGCTTTGCATTGAGGGGCTGTGTGCGGAACGTCAAAACTTCACATTGCACACAGCTTCCACGGCAATTTCCACCTCAGTTTGCCTTGCGAGGCCCATCGCGATCCATGCCTATACGCTTGCAGTTGCGCTCTTGAAGGTGTTGCTTCCCCCCTTTTTGGCCTTGGACCATTTTGGTGGTAAACAAAAAGAGCAAGGTTTGGTGACTTGTTCCGACCAATCCATTGAGGAAGTAAGGAGGGTGGGTGCCTGTCTTGACTGCGCAGCCAGAAGCTTGCTTCAGGACTCACCGCTGTCGCAAGCGGACAAGGCGCCGGACAAAGTGCCGGAGAGCCCGCAGCTGGCGCCCCCATCGCTGAAAGCACCCGCCCCACGCCCGCCGGACGGAGTGCATGTGAGGCGCGGGGTTTGGGGGTGGAGGGAGGGAGAGGGCGCACCACACCAAGTCACCAAATCCAGTGCTCGGACCGGGGTTGGTCAGAGAAAACAGAGGTTTGTCCGAGACATCCCCAGGACACCCTCCAAACGAAGCCTTAACGCAAGGAGTACTCAAGGTGGCTGGCCACCCAAGGGCGAATTACCTACTGCAGCCAAGCTGGCGTTCTGACGGCCTGACCTTTCGACGGCGGCAAAGACAAACAAATTGATCATGTACTCATCCCTTCAAGGGAAAGGGATGCAGCTACATAGCCGCCACGCGTCAGAGCTGCTCTTCAACGCTTGTCCGCATAAGAGTCAATGGGATTTTAGCCGTGCGCTTGCATAGGTCGCCTCGAACTTAATCGAAACTGCGCCATTCTGCCATGATTATCAGGAGGCACTAGTGCCTTTGCACTTTTAGTTCGCAATATCTGGCTTTCTAGCATCGCAAAACTCGCATGGTGCCAAATGTCGACGATGCCGACCATTTTGCAACCACGTCTCACCACACAAGCATTGGATCCAACTAGGCATGCCGCAGAAGGGGGTATTCCTTGGGTTTCGGAACGTCAAGGAGCCCGGGCTTTAGGGGAGGCTCGCATGGGTCGCCAACTTTGCGGTGCCCCAACGCAGGTAGGGCACATCACATGACGCCGCACTGACGTCCAGCCTGGCGAGCTTGCGCAAAATGGCTCGTGGAGTTGTGCTGCGTAGGGGTGACTAGAAGTTTGGTTCAACAAACTCCCGAATCCTACGTCCCCAGTAGTGCCCCTTTACCAACATTTTTAGGAAGGGTTCCCCTACTAACATAGACTGCAGAAAAAAAGAAAGGGTACCCGTATTCTAACCTCTCTACTGGAGGACCTAGCAGAACAGTGGAGTGGCTGCTGAACTTCAGCCAATAATTATAGCTTCCCTTTGCTTCTTCCTTGCCACTGAGGCCTGTCAGTTGTATGCGCATTCTGTGAGATCCTGGCCCTGCCCTTAGCGCAGATGCAACTTGATTTCGCCCGCACTGCACCGAATGCCGTGCAGCTGAGGTTGGCTTGATTTGGCCTTTGAGGCGCGTGCTTTGCCCGTGTGCCTTTTAAACTTGTGAAGCTCCGACCTATAATTACGGAACAGGTTGGGTTTACCAGATCCGTTTTCCCTGGGTTTCCGGAAGTCTTCTACAAAGACGGACTCCTGGAAATGGGAAAGGTACCCCTAGAACCCATCCCTTTAAAGTGATCAAGTACTCGTAGGAATGGACCACTTCGTCCTCAAGGGTTACGCACCATGCGCCCGTTGGCTCATGAGTTGACGCAGGCCGGCAGCTGTGTACGTCCCGCTCCTGCCCAATGCGTCCATGGCTCACTTGTCACTCGTTGTTGGGGCGCCAAAACAAAAGAGCTGGGAAGTCCAGGTTGAGACACCTTCACCTTGACCTTCAGCCAGCGATGCGCAGGTTTGTTGTGGCAAGTGCGGCGCTGTCAGAGGCAACGGGGTGCTGCTGGTTTGAGGCTTGTGGACTTTTGCGGTGCCCCACTGCCCTTTGCGTGGCCCTCAGCCGGGCAGTTTTCAATGTATCGGAGGCTGGGAGTCGCTGTGTGCCAAGTTGAGTCACCAATACGTGGTTTCCTTCCGTGCTTATTCCGGCAGACTGTGGGGATACCACCGGAACCGCTGCGCAGGAGTATTTGTTGCAGCCGAAGCATCATGTTAACGCACTTGGTGTCACAAGGGAAGCCCGGTCCTTTGGGGCTTGTGCTGACTTCGGCCGTCTTGAAGCAAGCTGCTGCACTTCTTTCCAGTCCAAGGGTCATTTGTTTTGCCTTTTTGCCATGTTAGTTTGGAGGGTGCTGGTTCTGGTTGGTTGCTGGCCGGATCCGGACTGATTGATGTCAGGTGGTTTCCCCTTTGCTGTTGGTCAACAGGGGCGGCCAAAACAAATGTGTGTTTTCCCTTTGGCGCCCCTTTAACCCCAAAAAAGGGGTGACGAAGATACACCCATCTGATATCGGGAAACCAGCCCGGAACACACCGCCAAACCACCGGGCACCAACGGGGACATCCATGTGGTTGATATCAAAAAGGTCCGATGAACGTGGGGTGACCGTCGGCTGGAGCCCCACGAAACAGAATTGGGGAACACCACAAGCTTCCATTTGCTTAGGATTCTGTTTTATTCTCCCCTGTTGGTTATAAAGGGAATCCATCACTACCGGAAACCTGTTTTTGTACTTTTTCCAGGGGTCTTAACCAAATGGAAGCAAGAACAGATTTGACAATTCAACCACATGGGACAAGTCACGGATGCTCATTTGAGGGTCGAAGGGAAGATTGATCACCCCCCATCATTTCCTACTGGCAAAGATCCATTCTCCTCTTGGTCAACGCAGGGGTCGCTTGCGGCTCGCGGATTCGTTCGTTTCAGGTTCTGGGCATCTCCTCCGATATGGTCGCCCGCCCACAGCTGAGCTTCCGCTTTGGGCGAGTTGGCCGGTCGCGGTTTCGTGCGGTGTTTGGCTTTACTCAGTCCAAACCGACCTGAAACGACCATGTTGTTGTTGTTGTTGTTGTTGTTGGCTTTTTTGTCATCTTGGTCAAGATGGTGCTTTAAAATGGACCTCGTCCCTGAGTTCCTGGATGGTGAACCGAGCGGAACCCCTGGTTTAACGCTTGTGTCCCTGAGAGAAGTCCTCCATTTTTCCACAGAGCACCCCAAGATCCATCCACAAGCTCATTCAGCCGTCGGCACTCTCCAACTTGGCCATGGAGCAGGTGCAGAAGCCATGTGCGAGCCGCACACGCTATTCGCCAACATCGACACCTCTGAAGTGAGGGAGAGCCAGGCCGCGATTTTAAGATGCATTGAGCACTTTGCACGCACGACCTCACCTTGTGATTCGCGACCTGACCGTTTTCGATAGTCTCCCTTGTTTAAGGCTAGTGAACCATTACAACCAACCAAGGTTCAATCAGTCAATGTGAATGGCATGTGGTTCTCGCATGCCACTTGTTGCACAGCTGCTTTTGCAGAACAGGCGCAGGAAAGGCTGTTGACAGCCATTTGGCTTCATTTGCTTGGATCCCCCACTTTTCCCAATATTTCTATGAAGCATAGAGGTTGCATGTTCCAACTTCAATAAAACATGGGCCAGGGTCCACAGGTTTAGGCTGCAATTGGTGGAAACGTTTCAAGGCAACGAGGAGCCCCTGGCATTTTCCGAAGGCATTGGGTGCCTTGGCCCATGTGTTCCGCATATTTTGGGCCACGGGCTTCGGTGGTTTGCCCCACAAAACGAACCAGATTCCAACACCTCAAATTTATGCCTTCATACCACCGTTTTTTTCCTGTACCCCCCCCATATGTTGGCTGGTGGGGAGGCAAGGGGGCGTGCAAGGGGGCTGGGGGGGTGTGGCCAAACAAAAGAAGGCAAAAGAGGTGTTTGGGACACTCCTGACCTTGAAGTTATGATATCATGGGGGGGTGTGTGCCATCAAAGTTGGGGCAGTTCAAATCCCCAGGTACCACCGGAGACCAGAACAAGTCCGGCTATTGGGTCCAGCGGCATTCCGGACAAGAAAAGGCATGCCTCTTTTGTCTTCTTATATCCTCCATATTATGTGGGTTGGTGACCTTGAAATTCTGACAGGGTCTACCCCCCCCCCAAAAAAAAAAGCGGGTGACCCAACCATTTGCAGGGGGAGCTTTTGTTTTTTGTTTGGGCCCACCCGCATTCCGGAAAAAAAAAGAAAGAACACAGAGGAATTAAATTATGCAGAAGAACTTTTGTTTTTTGTTTGGGCCTACCAGCATTCCGGAAAAAAAAAGAAAAGAACAGAAAGTAGAGAAGAAAGAAAGTAGAAGAAACTAGATACCATGAAGTGAAAATCAGTAAAAAGAATTGAAAAAGAAGTGAAAATCAGTAGAAGGAAAGAAAAGAAAGGACAAAAAAGAGGGAAAAAGCGGAAGAGAAGAAGCGGCCTGGAGGAGTCCAGCCTTTGCGCGAGCCTGGTGTCTCGGGGCACTGTGGGCCCTCGCCCGCTTGCCCCGGAGCGGCCCAAGAAGAAGCTGCCGGGGCCTCAGGCGCCAAACATCCAGCATCCAGCAAACCCCTCGGGGCCGGGGGTCGGGGGGGGGGGGGCAAAAATGCAATGTTCTAAATATAGGCATATATATATATACATACATATATATATATAGATAAGTGTCCTTTCATATCTTTCCGCAAATATCTATGTGTGTTATTAAGGAAGCTTGTTGTTTCCATTTCGAGCAAAGTTTACCGGACAGGCCACGTGTTTTTGTTTAGACGTGTTTTGAAAATGAGGTACTATTCTATATTCAATGGGAAAGGTACAGGGACACCTCGAAGATATTGGGGTCCCCCTTTAAGACACACCCATATGCAGGCTCTTTTCTTGGCAATGCACTTGGTTTTGGACATGGTAAACCGTGTGGGTTCTCCGCAGCTTTGGCTAGCCGACCTTGCGAAGAGCTATGAACACAGCACAATGCAAACACGAAAGAACCCACACACAGGCATGTATATATATGGTACATGCACGTGTGTTCATCATGTATTTGAGGTTGTCACTGAATACATGCTGCCCCTCTTCCAAAATCCATTCACACACACGCGCATTTATATATATATATATATATGTATATATATATATATATGTATGTATATTGTACATGCACGAATGTGTTCATCATGTAATCACTTCCCCCTATTAATAAAGGTCTCCCTAATAATAAATATTTGTTTCGGAAGTCCCAAATCCGGGAATACTACTTTTAGAATAGCCAATACTAAACCAATTCTAAAGTAGATATTTTCCTGCCCGTACTCAAATCCAGCCCCATTAGGGGGACCCCGGGGGCACGTTTCCTTTAATTACTACGGCTGTGCTACAAAGTTGCGACTTTCAGGCCAGAGCTCCGGGAGCACGTTTCCTTTACTACGGCTGTGCTACAAAGTTGCTGTGCCCAAAACCCACAACCAAAAACAACAAAACGTGACCTCAACTCCCGCTACTTAAATTCCTTACTCAGAAATGTGCGTTTGAAGCGATTTTACGGAACGGAACAGGGGGACCACAGTTGCAAACAAGCCTACACAGAACAAGAAGTACCTCCAAAACCTGCCCTCCAGAACCAGGGGACCCCTAATAATAAAAATTGTTTTGCAGGCCGGGTATTTTTTTTATTAGAGGGGGGGGGGGGGGCGTCGTTTATTATTCGGGGGAAGGGATTATTTGAGGTTGTCGGTGAGTACATGCTGCCCCTCTTCCAAAATCCATTTGGCGTGTGTTTGAGAGGCTGGTTGACAGACTCAACGTTTTTTGAAAGTACCCGTTGAAATTTTGCATCAGCCCGATTTAGAATTCAGAGACAAGTTCAATCAACATCTTCGGTCTTCAATACCCTTACTTTCCCTCGAGCATTTGGCCTTCTATCTTCAGGGTACGGTCTGAATGCTGCTGTTGTGGATCCACCAGCAAGTGGGACAAACAAGTACTCCTTGCCACAAGCATGCCAAAACACAATGAGACCGCAACCAGCGCATCCAAACTGTTTTCTAGGAAGGCAACACTTGCTCTCTCTAGCTCTTTGCTTTCTCTCTCTCATCTCCATTTGTCTTGTTCTTTCTCTATCTCTGTCTCTCTCTCTCTCTCTCTCTTTGTCTCTGCCTGAGTTCTTTCTTTATGTTTTTCTTTACGTATGTTGTTTGTTCATGTTTTGTTCTTTTTCTACGTCCTTTTAAATATTAGCTCTTTTTGTTTTGTGTCTTCCTTTGGTGATTTGTGTCTCTCTACGTTTGTCTCTCTCGCCTGTCCTCGGCTCTCTTGCCTTCTTGGCCCTCGGCCCAGGATGAATCGCATCAAGATGGCGCTGAAGGGTCAGGACTTTCAGGTGGGCGAAGTGGGACACAACACTTGGCTTCCCCAGAATTCGCTCCCCTTTTTGTTTTGTTGTTTTCTGCTTTTTTGTTTTGGCTTTTTTGGGGGTCACGTTTTTTTTTCCCACTAAGGAGGCAAACAGGATATATATTTTTTGCCGGGGTCCCAATTCCAGCCTTGGGTTGTCACATGGCTTCTTCGCGCCGGAGAGTGCCAAGCTTGCTATTGGGTAACGGACGAGTCTTTACTTGACTGCTATTGGGTTGGATCAGACTTTACCGTTTTGGGAAATAAAGGTGGTTTCCACTAAACCCGCAAAAAGTGAACACTTTTTGCAGGGGGGTCAACAGCAACCAAGTTTAGAGTTTAACTTTTGGTTGAAATCAAGGGTTGTCCGAATTGAACCCATAACAACTTGACCCTTTCGCAGAACGGTCAACAGCAACCAAGCAAGGACCCCAAAGTTTAACAATTTGAATGCCATGGCTCCTACGTTCCTGGTTGGGGGGGGGCTGTTGCAATGTTCCGTTTCTTCTGAAGCGTGTTTGCCAGTATGTTGTTTGTTTCCTGTGGTGTGTGTGTGTGTGTGTGCGCACGGTCATTGGTCACAGATGTATGAAGTTGCAAACTCTACATGAACTCTTTGACTTGGTGGTTAGCAACGGCTCGATGGGGGTATCATGATCTCATGCAGCTTCAGGGGTTGGATTTGCTTGTTCAATCGGCTTACTATTGCAGATGCACGGCCACTCAAAGCTGATTCCTGCACATGATGCAATGATTGGATGGGGAAATTTATTGAGCCCGCGCTTGGGCAGCTTGGAATTGAGCATTGGTTGATATCCATCTCGCTTTCGGAACAGAGGTTGAACTTCAGGCGAAAGCCAGGATAGCCAAATGGTCTAAGACACACAACTGTCTCCACCAGCGGTACATGTAAGGGCAGCGCAGCTACTAAGCTACTAGACTAGTCATAGCAAGCAGGGTATCAGGCCCCATGCTGCATTTGACCCTCGCTTGCAGCCGCTTGGAGATGCGTTTCGTCGCTTGCGGCCGCCTTTGGCTGTGGGCCGGTGGATATATTCGCCAAGCTTGCAATCGGCTTCAGTGGGCTAGAATTGAAGTGAATCATAGGCCCGACTTGCATCTTGCTCAGGTTTGTTTCTGCCCGCCCCATGGGATAGATTTCAATTCGAGCATTCCGTTCACGGAGAATGCGCTCAAGGTTGCTGAGTCGCGTGTTTTGTTTTCTTTCATCCATTTTTCAGCCTGGAGAAATTCCACGACCCCTTTTTGTCTCAGTTGTTCAAAGCCGACCTTTTGACCTTTTGGTTTTCCCATTTTGGTCCATATTTAGTCATGGCCAGCACGGATGCCAGCTTGTTCTTTTTCCGACTTGCCTGCGTTTGACCCATGGAGTCGTGCGCTGGCCTATGCTTTGCTGGCTTGGCGCACCTTGGCAAGCAAGAGCCGGAGACACATGACCAGCACCATTAGCATCACCATCGCCAGCATCATCACCACCACGAACCCAACCACCCACCACCACCACAACCACAATCACAACCACCACCATGTTCATCATCATCATCATCATCATCATCATCATCAGTACTTTCACCATATTCATTCTGAAGCTCCCCCTGCATCAAGGCGGTAGCATCATATTTAGGCTCGCACGGGAAGGGGTGCATCCAGCCCCAGGCACGTATGTTTCTCGCAAGGCACCTAGGCCATGCACAGTTCCTTTTCACTAGTCACCTTGGTAAGATTTGCATATCAACGCTGGACGGACGGAATCCATTTCGCACCACCTGAAAAAAATTGGAAGGATGATTCCCTTTTAAATGCCAACACGCAACGGTTCCAACCATGATTTCTAAGTGGTGCGAACGGACTTCGCCAAGCATCCGCGGTTAGGACCCGTGTTTGGCGCTTTGCCGCTCGGCGGTTTTAGGCTGTGGGCCATCCGCAGAAAGCGGAAGCACAAGGCGCGGTTTGATCATGCGATCGGATCCTCGGGATGGGGTGACCTAGAGAACAGGCTGTCTATGGTCTCATGCCCGATGTGAAAAGGGTGTGTCGTTTTTTAGGGGACCCCCAACAAATTGTGCGGTTCCTCTGAGTTTGCCTTTGAAACCTCCAAAAAGAGACCCTGCACAAACAGACACACCCACAAAGGGCTTGCATCGCGTCATATGACTTGGGTCCAGGGATTTATGCAGGAACTGTTGCACATCAAGAGCGAAGCCCTGTTGTTCACATCAGATGTGACCTTTGCTTTCTTTCAGCTGCGAATGCGCTACACGCCTCCGCACACCTCTACACAAAGCATGTTTCCAGGAGCTTAGGCTTGGGCAAGCTTGCAAGGGATCCGTGGCCAGAAACATACACTATCAATATCCAGGCCTGTTTTTTGGTGTCCGTGGTGGGAAGGAGCTATGGTTGAAAATGCGTACCTGCAGACTTTGAGGGGTTCTCAGGATGGTTCTTCTCAGGATGTTACTCTACGTCCCCCAGCAATTAGTGCTTTTTGTTTTGCCATTTTTTGAAAGAATCCCCTACTAAAATAAACTACAGAAAAAAGAGGGGTAGCCTTATTCTAACCTCAAACTACTGGAGGACCTAGCACTTGCTTCCAGCCCAAGCATGGATCAAGCGATTCGGCAGAGCTGCGCAGGTTCAAGCGGTGATCTTCGACCTCGATGGTACGCTCATCGACTTTGAAGGCGGAATCGGCGGGGCGGATTTTCTTGCGGCTTCCGGTGGGTAGGGAATGACAACGAGTCGTGGTGTGGGGAGTGAAGCGGTTTCGAGTTTGGGGACTTTTTTTGAAGGACGCCATAGGGGATGGTTTTGCCAAAGGAACCAGCTAGTTTCGGGGTCGTGCCTGGACATGGTGGGTAGTGGTTCTTGATTAGGGGATAGCTGGGGGGTAGAGTGGCTTTTGCTTTTTCAAATCGGCTATCCAAAAACAAAGCGAGTCACTCCACGGCCGAACCCAAACAAGAGAGTTCAACCCGTGTCACCATTTCTCTCTTCCTAGACATCCCATTCCGCAAACATCACAGAAGGATGCTTGCCTGACTGTGTTTCTCAAGATGTCTCCCCCGCCAAAGCAAACTTTTTTTGTTATGGCCGAAATCATGTTTGGTTGTGTTTCTCAAAATGTCCCCCCCCCCCCACCAAAAAACACAGCATACCGGTTGGTTTCCTTGTGGTTCCCGTTTCATCTACCACCAGGGCGTCCACCCGCCATCTCGCCACCCCTCAGCCCAACCTTTGCGAGGTGCGTCGCACGAGGCGCTTGAGGCGCCGCTGAAGCGCCGGAACCGGACGCTGCCCTGGGCAGTTCATGGGAAGATCGTGGGGCGCAAGGCCGGGGAGTCGGGGGGGGGGGGGGGGGGTTGGGGGCTTGGGAGGGGCTTGGTGGGTTTCAGGGAGGTTTGGGGAAATTGAAACATAAATTACGCATAGCGAAACCAAGATGGGCATGGGTGAACATTAACAACCCCTTTTAGGGATGGCCAACCTTTTTTTGATCATGGCCAGTGTTGTGGAACCATAGGTACCCCACGTTTGGCCCATACCCAAATGGACCAAAGCATGCAACGCCAGGAAATATGGAAAGCCAAGCAAGCATGGGCCCAGTTGAACACACATGACACGCCCACAATTGCTACCCGCCTTTCGGCCGGAAGGCCCGGGATTTCATTGCAAGAGAAGGTATGCACGGGAAAGGCCAAGGCCAAGGCAAAGGGACCAGCTGAGGACGGCAGGGGCCGCGGTTTGTGGCAGCGGGCAGCGGTTGGTTGAACCGTTTCATACTGTGGGTGGACGAAATCCATTTTGCACCACCCAAAAAAGCGCCTGGAATGATTCGATTCCAATGTAAATACCAGCAAACAATGGGTTTCAACCATGGTTTCATAGGTGGTGGAGGATTTCGTCCATCCACAGCATTGCAAGTTGCAGAAACCCAGCGAGCCATCCTGCGAGTTGATATTCGACAAGCATGGGAAAGCACGTCGGTGTGTTGGGAACAGCTATTTCACATGGAACCTGAAAGGAGGGTCCTAGAAACATTTTCCTTTAAAAGGACCCCCTGTCAGGTTCCATGTTGATTGGTGGGAGGTACCTCTTTGTGACCAATCCACTCGATGGGAAGTGAGTTGCGCTTAGGGACTCTCGGCGCATGTCCCTGAGGCAGAGGACTGGTCGCGGCAGATTCTGGAGGACGCTTCAAGCGAGCCTCTCGCTTTCCTTCCATTTGCCTAAGAAGATTTGTTTTTTCCCCTGTTGTGATTGAAGGGAATCTATATCACTACTGGAAATATATTTGTCTTACCTCTTAAAAACACAACTTTTCAACTTTTTGGGTAACATGGGCTATATCTTAAAACTCCAAGGGGTAAGTTGTTGTTTCCAGGGGGGCTGAAGCAAAATGCCAAGCTTCCCTTCGCCAGGCAGGTTCTTATCCTTCCAGGGCTTTCATTGAACCCTTGAAACCTTTGACTGGGAAATGTGTCGACCGGCGAAGCGGCAGCAGTGTATCATTTCCGGGCACGGGGCACTCGGGGTTTTGAGGGGACAGTTGGAGGCTTGGCTTTTCAAGGTTCCGCAATGGACAGATGGGCTTGAAGACTTCTGCGTTGTAAACTGTTGGAACCTTTGCGCGTTGCCTGTACAATTGCAGGCAACAGCCGCGTCTGGTTGGGAAACAGCTGTTGAACCAGTGAACCAGAGACCGCCCCTATGGGCAATTTCGTTCTGTGGTCCATAGTACCCAGGTTTCATAGTGGCACAGCGTGGCCCAAAAGGTGGGGTGGTTGAGTGCTGCTCTCAACCGGGCTTCCGGGTGCTTCCACTGCAACTTCATCTTCAGTTTCCGCGGGTGTTGGCCTACTTGCTGATGCGATAGGGAATGAACCAGGATTTCAGGAATGAACCTGGGGATTCCCGTAAAGTAGACCATAGGGGATGGTTTGAGAAATAGCTGGTAGCAGACTTGCTGATAGCGCGCAAGAAAAGGACCAGCTTGAGCCAAAACCTACTCGCTCCCCCCCCCCCCCCTTCCCCCCAAAGACCAACTGACAAACAGTGAGACATGAACAGCTTCCTTGGTTGATGTTGGCCCTCGTGTTGGGCGGGTGATTGGTTTTGCTCCAATCGCTGCGAGCCCGTTCGCCTATTTCATGTTTGCGATGTTCGAGCGAAGGAAAATGGCCAGGAATGTTAGGGAACCCCCGGACCATCGCATGGCAAATGCCCTCGTCGCCCAAAACGAGACTTCTGGTCTCACTTGGGTTCACGCCCAAGTCCTGGACAAAAGATACACGCTGGGGGCAGACAAGAAGGTGGTTGGGATTGGGATTTGAACCCTTGGCTTCACCCCAACAACCCTCTTTTCGAAGGGAAGCCGTTTTTGTTTTCGGCGGCTAGGTCCCCCAGTGCTCCCCGTGCTCTGCTAAGCTAGAATACGGAAAAAAGTTGGTACCCTTATTAGAAATTCTAACCTCAAACTACTGGAGGACCTAGGTGAGCTTTCCCGCCAAACCAAGCCGATCCAAACCACTCCACCGCCGTGTTTTTTTTTGTGTCCAAAAGTTCCGCGCCGCCAGGAGCTGGCCGTGCCGGCGGAAGTCCTAAGCCCCGCGGACTACGTCAAGGAGTGGGATTTGAATGAAGTGGGGGAGCCCTTTTACATCCTTTTTTGGTTGGGGGTCCTTGTACCCTTTATTGGGAAAAGAGTTGGTACCCTTCTCCATTGCAGGACCTAGCCAAGCAGAAGCGAAATATGGTGTGTCATGTGTTTGTCCTGAAGCTCGGTACTGGTAAGCCCCAATTGGCTCGGTTTGGATTGGTGGTGGGGGTTTTGGGATTTGTTCCCGGGTTCTTGAGGGTACCTGGGAACCACCCCTGAACCACAAAGCCACCGGCTTGTCCCAAACCACCAACTCGGGGGAAGCTGATGTTTGATGATTTGTTCTCCTAAAATTGGAAACCAAAAGGACACCTTCCACTTTGCGGGGTTCCCAATTTAGAGACAAGCCCAAATGTTAGGGATTTTCCTCTGACTGGCAGTATCGATTTTGGGATTCCACCGCACAGGACTTCAAGAGCTGTGTTTCCAGGAGGGTCCCTGATGGATGCGGTGGCCGCCATTCGTGGCTTGATCATTAGTGTCTCATCGCATCACTGGTTTTGAAGGGCTGAAGATCCAGATATTTTCATGAGCCTTGGATACCGGCATGGCACCTGGGCACGCTTGCCCAGCTGAGTGGGGAACAGTTTCTGCGCATATCAATTGCCGGGTCAATTCTGTCGGTCTCAATGCATCAGTGGGAAGCCGACTTTTTGTTGCTTCTGCTTCTGTGTGTGTGTGTGCTTTCTCGTGAGTAGCCAGGCCACAGTGTGCCCGAACAGATCGGGCGCCTCGGAATCTAAGGCTTGAAAGTCCTGGCAAATGGGGAGAAACCGTTTTTCTTGGTCAGGGCTCCTTAAAAGATACAGTTTGCCCATTTGAAACATGGCTGTTCCACCAAAAAAAAGGAAACCACCATGTACAAGTTGCAATGTTCAGGTGTATAATGTAGGGATCCCTGTTGGTTGGTGGGGCGGTGCAAGACAGAAGTTTCAAAAGGCCCTTGGCGAGCGTCGAATGGGGCGCGCACCCGACAGCGTGTTCAGCGATCTCCAAGTCCCCTGGACCAACAGCTTAGCTTCATGAGCCGGAAAAGGGGCATGGGCAGTGAGCCTTGCAAAAAGTCGACTGGGGAGAGTTGCTGGTTGCAAGCTTCCGGTGGTGAAGCCTATGGAAATTAATGAAAGAGGAGCGGAGAATGGGGTAAAGGCATGTTTCCCGCGCAAGGAGTACATGCAGGACATCAAGGCGGGGGCCGGTCCGGTCTCAGCTGCAAATATTTTGGCAACTGCCGCCCGCTCAAAGTTGAAGTCAGCTGGGGACAAATCCGTAGATAAGAAAACTCGCAAACGTGTTCCTTTTGGATGGCTCCGAGACGTCCAGTTCCATGGGAAAGCGTGTACTTTGCCAAATTAGCTTTGCACCAGGCGTCTAAGGCCAGGGGAAAGTTGGAGCCCTGGATCCTCGGTGTTGAAGCGGACGCAACGGCTGGCTCGGGCTTCGGCGGAAGTTAGGAAGAAAGAAATTGCAACTGACTTCCTTTTTTTTTAAATACATATATATATATATATACAACTTTCACCTGTTGGTTTTGTAGGGTAGGTGTAAGGTAGGTTTGGGTTGGGCCATTGGCTGCAATGAATATTTGTTGCTTTCCCTGTTGGTTTAGCGGGAATCTATCGCTGGACATATTTTTAATTGTCCCAGGCGACGAAGCAAATGGAGGCTGAAAGAGCGAAGGTTGGCTTTGGATGTAGGGTAGGTGTAAGGTGGGTTTGCGTTGAGCTTAGGGTCGGAGGACCTTGGGATTGTTTAGGGTTCAGGGCTGATTTGAGATTGGTTCACGGTCGGAGTAGGGGTGGCTCAGAGGTCATTTCACATTCGGTTTAGGGTCTGGTTTCGGGTTGGGTGTTGGGTTGGTGCCAGTTTAGGGTTGGCATTGGGTTTGGTTTGGGGTGTGCTTAGTGGGATTGGTGTATGTTTGGCTTAGGATTGGTTTATGGTTCATTCAGGACCGCTAGGTAAAAGGTCGGTTTAGGGCTAGGTTTGGGTTTGTTTCAAGGGTAGATGTAGGCTCGGTCTAGGTTGGTTTAGGGTTGGCTTGGTTCATTCAAGGTGGCATTAGGGCTGGGATTAATTCAGTGGTTTCCCATGGGCTGAGATTCAGCTCAGGCTTTGGTTTGGGGTTGATTCAAGTGGGCGGATTTAGGTTGGGTATGTTGGCTTGGGTTTTTGCGTCGGTTTGGGGTTGGTTCGGGGGTTTCGGGTCTTGAAGGATGGATCAGCTTGTGTTAGGGTTAGGCTTCGGGTTGGTGAGTTGTAGCTGGTTTGGAGTAGGCTTGGGGGTGGCTTCCGATAGGGTCTTGGGTTTGGTTCAGGCTAGGTGGGCTGTAGGTTGGGTTTAGTGCGGGTTTAGCGCGGCTGGTGTCGCGTTGAGGGATGCTCAGGCCAGGTTTGGGTTGAGTGGCCTGGAACTGGGATTTGTTGAGCCCCGTGTGGGAGGGCTGATGCTGCCACGTTCAGGATGTTCTGGACGGTTCGGCATGCACAGTTGGTCGGGCTTATGGATGGCCGGGGTCCAATTGGTGATGCTCGTATGTTGGGATGGCTCGGAAATGCCCCTTTCCCAGCTTGGTTTCTTCTACATGGTTGGATCTTTGGACGCTCTTTGTCGGGAAATAGGCGGGGGAAAATCCAAATTGGACCCGGGGAGGGGCCGTTGCAACAGCCAAGTGGAGGGTGCCCTTTCCGTTGGGTTCCGACCTGGGTGTCCGCTAAACGCCGAAGATTTTTCTCATTTTGGACGGAAGGTGCGCCTTGGAGGGACTCCCCGAATCCTCACCATCACCACCACCACCACCACCACCACCACCACCACCATCACCACCACTTTTTCTCATCTTGGGCCATCTGACGCCAGGAGCTCTACCCGTCCATTCCGCCCTGGCCCGGCACTCTGGCGCTGCTGAAGCAGCTCAAGGCCAAAGGCTGGGGAGAGTCGGGATGTTTTTTCAGCTCAATGTCTTTGATTGAATCCGCACCCGCCACAAGCAGGCGTTTTTTTTAAATTCTCGGCTTTGTTTGTGTTGTTGTTGTTTCTGATTTGTGTTTATTTGTTGTTTCTGTGTTTGTTGTTGTTGTTTCTGCTCTGTTTGTTTTGTTGTTTCCGGTTTGTGCTTTGCTTTTTGTTTGGTTGATAAACCACGCGCATGCCATAATGGAAGTTGATTCCCCATTTTTCCCCTCGTCTTCTTTTTCTATTTTATTTTTGGGGGGCCCTCAAGTGCCCCAACAGGGGATGCTTTCCGAACATGAGCGGGGTTTCTTCGGAGAAGCCGGGCTTCCATTTGGTTAAGAATAGTTTTTTCCCCTGTTGGTTTTAAAGGGAATCTATCACTAATGGAAATATGTCTATTTTTCAAGGGGACTTAAGCAAATGGAGGAGACCAAGCGGCGTTCCCGGAAGCAACCCGGCTGAAAGGCTGGCTGGTGGCTGGGAGGAGCCGTTCGGTGGCTGGGAGGAGCCGTTCGGGAGATGAGGGTCTCCAAAAGTTTGCCTTGGAAGAGCTACCAGGAGTTCTGCAGGGACATGGTAGGGAACGTTCACATATTTCGCAATCGGGTGCCAAGCAAGTGGGAGGTTAATCCTGGGTGCCCATCAAGTAAGTGCCCATCAAGGGTTAAGCAAATGTAAATGGAAGAGTATCTCACAAGTTTTCTCCGCAGGCAGGATATTAAGCTACTATAGTTACTATCGGAGAACAGTGGCAACTGTTTAACTCCAGCCAAATCAAGATACGGCTGTGGGTAAATCATAGATACCCAAAATACAAGCCTGGCAAATGAACCCAAGAACGATTTAACCTGCGGTCCTTTTGGGGTTTCATTTTGACCCATACCCATACTGGGTGCCCCCAAGCACAGTGGGGGTGTGGCAAATGGCGGCGGGGGGAAGATCGAAGATCGCAAGGCTTCCCGCTGGCCATTGCCACCAGCAGCCCCAGGAGCGATCCTCGAGACCGCGTGTCTGGGGTTGGGCCTGGGGACTTGTGCTCGGCAGCTTGCGTTGGCTGACATGTGTGTTGTTCCGTTTAAGGAAACAGGGAAAACAAGAAAAAGAGGAAGAGACACATTTTTTAGCAAACAAGGAAAACACGAAACAGAGGAAACACCACAACACCACCTTGTGGGTTGTTTATGAGGGATCCATTTCACTACTGGCAAGTTGTCTTTTCCGGAAGGCTTAAGTCTCAAGCAACTGGAAGGAAGGGAGCCGTTAGGGAGCTAGAAGGAGCCAAATTCCCGGAATCAAGAGGGAGCTAAGGCTTGAGCCGGGAGTTCGGCAAGGACATGGTAGCACTTGAAATTCTTCGGGCAATGGCATTTTTTGCCCCAATCGCCAGGAGTAACATTTTTTCGGAGGACTATTGCAAGGGAATCCCCCAAACAAACTCCTTCAGCAAGACAAAAGTAGACCAGTTTTAGAGCGGGTGGTGTGTTTGGGTGTCGGGAAATCGGTTGCTGGACACGTACAGGAAGCTCCGCCAAGAATGGGCGCGATTGTCCGTGCAATGCTTCGGGGTGGCTGTTCATGTTTGTGGCAAAAGCCCTTGCGTGTGGCACGGAGTAAAAAAACGGGTAATTCGGGTGGCGGGTGTTTTTTTTCCCCCCTTTTTTTTGCAGGGGACCCCCTCAAAGTGGCGGTTTTCTTCTTGGTTCCCTTGAACCCCACAGAAAACTCGAGGCCCACCCGGCGGGGCTCGCGCAGGCCTTCCTTTGACCTGAAGATGCAGCATCACCAGGCGCAGTGCAATGGGCACTTCGGGGAGTCCGAAGTGCCTGGAGTTGGAGGAAATCACCGGTCTCAGGTTGACAAAATGGTGCGCGCGGACCCTCAAACTAGCAAAAAAAAGGGGAGTTGAGTGATAATTGTGGTTTCAAGGGTGGACCCCTCCAAAATGGATTTCGGTGTTCCTGTTGGTTTCCCTTTAAACCACCCTCCTACCCGAAAACGGGCACCCCCAAAAGTCTGACGGACCCTAATCGCACTGTCAAGGGCATGAGGCCATGGATGCCCTCCGCGTAAAACGCTTTCTGACACGCCCTCATTCGTACGCCTTCTTCTGGGGTTGGGAGACATCTTAGGCAAGAAAACAGATTCGACCCATGCTGCTCTGACACCCTAAAGCCAGTCTAAATTGATTCTAAGCCACTGCTAAACCCGGTGAAGTCAACCCCAAACCCACCCTAAGCAGAACGTACTCCCGTACTAGTGTGACAAATCCCAACCACCCATCCAGCGCTAAACCCATCAAGCCCCAAATCAAGCCAGTCCATATCTGCCACCCCGGACGTATATCAGACGAGTTGTCCGTGACGAAGGATGACCACTTGTTTGAGCTCAAAAGACAATATCTACTCGTCTATTAGTTATTTATTTAGTTGCTATACATATTGATTTATATTCATATGTACGTAAGAGGAAAGGGCCACCTGGACCACTCAACCAACCACCCGTTGGGTCCGCCTCTAAAAGAGGGAGCTCACAAAAGTCGTACGTTTTCCGTGGCACAGAAAAGGTTCGCCAAGTGAGGGTTAGCCTCCCAGGAACACAAGGCTTGACTAGAGGCTACTTTTCAGGGGAATTTCAGCTGAGCATGTTAGGTGGGAGGGCATTTGTGCAAAGCACAGAAAACTCACATTTTCTCACTCTGTTAGTGGTAAATTTTACGATTTTTGGCCCAAACTTGGGTTTGAACAACGAAACCGATTTAGAAGCTTGCGGGACACGTGCAGAACTGGTAAATGCGGTGAATCTACCAAGTTTGATTACTTTTTTCTTGGCCAATCCACTGGCTCGGAAGTGAGTAATCTTTCATTGATCCTCCTCCATGGTTTGTTCCGGCACGGGGGAATCAGAAGACCATTGGAGTGGTAGATAGTTTAAAGGTTTGGACGGAAGTGGCCAACGATGCCATATTAGCCACTCAGGCCAACATAATAGGCATCATATAGGAAGGCACCATATCAGGAGACCGGCCAGCGCTCGGAAATCAGCGTAGTTTGCAGAGAAGGGGTGCCTTCCACCAGGATTGACATGTCGGTTTTTGGTTTTGGCATCTTCAAGGTGTGCAAGGTGTCAGTTGGGGGAATTAATCGGCCGCTCAGGACATCCTGCGCCTCATGGATGCCGTGGTCTGTGGGGATGAGGTCGCCAAGGGCAAGCCAGCGCTCGGTCCTCGGTGCGTCGCCCCTCCGGGGGCACTAGATCAGGTACTACTCGCTGCATATAGGCGCCTCGTTGCTTTTTGTAGGAAGCATTTTTTTGGGGGGGGTTGGGAAAACGAAAGCCAGAAGGAACACATTTCGGGGAGGTCCAACCTCCAAAAAGACACACCCAACTGGAAAGCACCAGAAGATGAGCATTGTTGTAGCTCACCCAAGTCCTGCGACCTGGCGGGCTCGGAAGGGAGATCAAGTGGAAACCGACCCTCTGCGGCTCTTTCAGGGCGGGAATCAAATGAAAACCACCCCAGCGTGTTCCAGAGGGAAACCAAAAAGAAGTCAACCATGTTTGCGTTTTGTGTCAAAGCCAAACGAAAGATCGCTCTACAGAGGGTGCAACGGATCTCGCTTATCGACCCGAAAAGGCCAAGTTGGGCCTTCAAACCCCTAGGGGTCACTCTAGATCTTTGAGGGAGGTCAGCCAAGAAAAAACAGGTCAAAGAAACTCTTTTGTTGGCTTCAACGCCCAAAAGAAAAACCTTCTTCAGACACCTGGCTGGAATAATCTAAAGCAGGAGCACATGAGGGCAGATGCCGAATGAGGCAAGACGTCGGGCCAAGAAGTGAGCACCCAGCAAGGCCGACTTGGCTACAAGAAAGCGTTTCAGCTGCGAGCAAACCCATACGATGGACAAAATGACGACAGCCAGAAGTTCCTGATGCAAGCAAACTCACAGGAGGTTCTCCGCGAGCCGCAGTCTCGTGAGTCATCTTGGCTAAGCTGCGTGATACCTTCCGACGCAGCTAGTTTGTTCTGCAGAAGGGCTTCATCATCGAAGGATCCTCACCAAATACTTGGAGACGGGGAGGGGGAGAGAGAGAGAGAGAGAGAGAGAGAGTGAGAAGGACCACAAGACAGAGAGAGAGAGAGAGAGCATCAGAGAGAGAGAGAGAGAGAAACAAAGACGTCTTCTTCGACTACAAAGCCGGAATGCTTGATGCTTAACCAAACCCGAATTCAGATTGTCATTCTGAAATTTGCCGAAATTGGTACTTACATGAGTTTGCAACTTGGTGACGTGCTGCCAATGCCCATACGGGGTTTTGTTCCAGCTTCGCGCTGGTTCAATTTGACAAGTGCGCTAGTAAGGTTTTGTTCTTTTCATGTTGTAATTCGCGTGCAATTTGATTTCAAGATCCGAGGCTCGTTGTTGGCCTCACGGTAGCTGGTTGTGCTGCAGTTGTAGGGTCTTCCCTCATCAGAAATCCTTTGCCTATTGAATGCCTCACATTAATGTTGAAATACTGGTTTCGGCTCTCAGGCTATAGTTAGTTGTCTAGGGAAAAAGGCGCCTGAAACCATCTGGAATGGGTTCGTCTACCGAATGGATTCATGGCCGGTTTTTTTAATCAAGACAACTCTCCACCCGCAAGGGAAACATGGGGTTTGCAACCACTTTGTGTCCACTATGTAAGGGGTTTCCCTTGGGGGTAGCGGTTTGGGGGGTAGTGAAAACCATCTCAGATTTGCAGTTCAGCCACATCGGCAAGGCCCGACATCTTCCTCGAGGCTGCCCGGCGGCTGGGCAAGGATTGCTCCAGATGCCTCGTGCCGCTTGGCACTTTGATTCCGAATCCCGGCCCAAGACCAAGTGACATCCGCGGATGAATAGCTGGCTGGTGGGTGGGAGGGGGCCGCTAGGGAGATGAGGGTATCCAAAAATTTGCCTTAGAGCTACCAGGAGTTCTGCAAGGACATGGTAGATAGGCAATGTTCACACATCCCGCAATGGGGTGCCAATCAAGTGGGAGGTTCATCCTGGATGCCCATCAAGAAAGCCAGCTCATGGAGGCTTAGAGCGGGCCCATGCGCTTCCCATTTGATAGCAAAGTCACCCTAGTAGTGGTGGGTGACTGGGAAACAAAGCTTGGCCTCATAATTTTAAGCCAAAGTCACCCAACGTCATCACCACAAATTGGGGGGTGACTCGGGAAAGAAAGCCGGGAGAGAGTCAAAATAAGGACCCCGGCCCGACAGGGAAGTTTGGGTTTGGCAAGACTTTCCAGGCCAACTTCAGCCCATTGAGCGGGCTGCCCTCTGGTTTATGGACATCCGAGATTTGGTTCCCAGATTCCTACGGATCAGGAGGCCTCACCTGACGGGTTGGTTCTGAAGCCATCGCTCCGAGCCGTCAAGCTTGGGCCGAAAAGGATGCTGTCGAGTGCTTGGCTCCAAAGCGAAGAAAGCCCTGCTGGAATGTTGGAAGGGCCACTTGTGCTCAAAAAATGAATTGCTCTTCAGGGCTTCCGTTTGCCTTGCTGGATGCTCCTCGGGTTCTTCTCCTGCCCAATGGGCCAGCGAAGCAAAGCAGCTACCGAACCTCCAACAAGCAGCCCAAATTGTGAGTTCCCTTGGGTTCATCTTGACCTACCAACCAACTTAAGACTTCCCTTCATTTTTCCGGGATGCCCCTTGACACCTCACCAGCAAGCCTGTTTTTTGTTGTTGTCCCTTCGGTGCAAATCTCCAAGCCATCCGTCGGCCAAGCTGTCGGTGAAAGTGGATTGTTTTTTTCGACGGGCTGCGGAAGGATTTGCCAAGCCTTCGATCAGGCCTTCGATCAGGCCTTCGATCAGGCCTTCGATCAGGCCTTCGAGCAGGCCTTCGATCAGGCCTTCGATCAGGCCTTCGATCAGGCCTTCGATCAGGCCTTCGATCAGGCCTTCGATCAGGCCTTCGATCAGGCCTTCGATCAGGCCTTCGATCAGGCCTTCGATCAGGCCTTCGATCAGGCCTTCGATCAGGCCTTCGATCAGGCCTTCGATCAGGCCTTCGATCAGGCCTTCGATCAGGCCTTCGATCAGGCCTTCGATCAGGCCTTCGATCAGGCCTTCGATCAGGCCTTCGATCAGGCCTTCGATCAGGCCTTCGATCAGGCCTTCGATCAGGCCTTCGATCAGGCCTTCGATCAGGCCTTCGATCTTCCAAGGTTTTCATTGATCAAGCCTTCGCTCTCTCCGGCTCCGAGGTTCGAGGACTCCCCGCTGGGCATCCAAGGCGCGCAGGCGGCCTCGGCCCTCAGCGTGGCCCTGCCGGACCCCAGGCGCGGAGAGGTCCGGGGACCGGCGGATGCGGAACCGTCCGATGCGTAGGGTGGTTTGGTGACTGGGTGGCTTGGTGGTTTGGTGGGTTTTTTTTTTGGTTTTTTGGGTCGATGGTTTGGTGGTTGGGGGGTTCGGTGGTTGTTTGGGTTGGTGGTTTGGCTTTTTTTGGGTTGGTGGTTTGGGGGTTGGGGGGTTGGGGGCTTTGGAAAGCGAAGACATGACTAGAGTTCCTGGTTTCTTGCTTCTGTGTTGCTTGTTTGTTTGTGTGGCTGCCTTTTTGTGGAAAGGAGCGTGGCTTAGGCTGCACTCATGGAATTCACGGAAGCTGGCAGCCTTTGTCGAATGAGCAACGAACTTGTTGGATCCTCAATGAGTTTGCTATGAGTATCCAAGAGTTGGGGGGGGGGTGCAAGCAAAAGTTTTCTGCTACCGCAGAGCAGTCAAGATACGGCTGTGGCTAAAACATAGATACCCAAAATGGAACCCTCCAGACATCCCTTGGGGCGCGCGGCAGGTTTCCAGAAAACCTTCAGCTCCTCCGCAAGCTGCAGCCCACTTGGCTGCTGCCGGAAGGCATCGGATCCTTGGGCCACATTTGGCTACGGGTCAAAATAAAACCGCCAGGATATGGACCGCAGGTTTTAGTCTTTGGTTCCATTTACCAGGACAAGCCATTTTGGGTACATATTTATGACCACAGCCATTTGAAGGCTATGGGCTTAACAGGGCACAAGGAAGAATCCCCTGCACCACAGGGCCTTGACGGCCATATCGGCCGAGCGGCGTATCCAGATATCCAGGTGCCATGTCAATGTGGCCGCGTAGCTCCTGAAACAGATGAAATGAGTGTGGCTCAAAAATTAAAGACCTAAGGTTACGCAGGCTTTAGCGTGAGTTTCCATTTGGCAAGGTGCCATCATTCTAGGGGACACTTCCCCATTCTTTCCAGGGAACCTTCTTTCCAGAAAACCATCAGAATCCCAGGGGAAACAGCGATCGGTTTTTGAGAAGAACGATGGTTGAAAAGAATGGAAAAGGAATCAACCCCTAGAACTCAGCTTTGCCCACAGCCAAATCTACGTGTTTTTTTCAGCCACCGCCAAATTTTTGAACTCAGGGCACGGTCACACGGAAGGCGCTTTGAAGAGGTGCCCAGGTCCCGGCCAGCCCTTGGTTTTTTTCTCCCCACGCAGAAACCACCAGAATTAGCGGCCCTTGTTGCTTTTTGCTTGCTGTGTGCGGTGTTTTGCTTTTTTGGGGGGGTCCCTTTGTTTTTCCACTAGCCAGGCAAAAAACACTATTTTTTTGCTGGGGTCCTAATTCAGCCTAGGAAAAAGCCCGACCCCCCCCCCCCCCCGTGCGCCTCAGAAGTGCCAGCCGGGTCGGGTGAAATGGAGTTGGGCCTTGGCCACGAAAGGGAAATCGCGAGAAAAGCCGCACGAGAGCCAAGGACGCTTCGATTGCAGTGAGTTGGAGCTGGAGTCTTGAGCTGAAAATCGGAGCGCCCGAGGCTGCAAGCGCATCTGCTCATGAAACGAAGGGACGCTGCTTGAGCTCACCGCTTGTCAGTGCAAGCACACTGAGAGCCCCCCCGCCACCGACGTATGCTTTGCTAAAAGTTTGACTTGTGTCAACTCGCGCAAGCAGCGGAGTCAGGTCATAGATGTCGCTTTGGGTCAACTTGGCTTGAACTGTGTGGCGCAGATTTCTATTTGGTTCTTGCAGAATTTTCCCAAGCGGCAGCGGACTAGGATGCTTCCTACGTTTGAGTTGCCAGGTGGAAACCGCACGGGTGTGTGCGTGTGTGTGTGTGTGTGTGTTCCTTTTAGGGGACCCCGAAAATGGTTGGTGTTGCGGTTGGTTTCCATTTAAAGCCATCCATAGCAACCTGCTCATGCCCCGAACACAAGGGTGGCCCTGCCTCCCCCCAAAGGCCCGGCTTTTCCTTGAAACCAAGTGCAAAGGTCAGGGGTAGCTTTAGAGGCCCCGAAAGATTCCCAGAACCCTTTCTGATTATTTTTGGGGAAGGTTGTAGGTATGTACAACTCTTTCTGATGATGTCGTGGGTGGAGGGCGGGGAGCCGTGGCGGGTTAGATTAGGTTAGAATAGATACAGCATTAGATTCGATTGGGTGAGATAGATGGATCGATTGATCAGACAGAGAGACAGACAGACAGACAGACAGACAGACAGACAGAGAGGACAGACAGACAGACAGACAGACAGACAGACAGACAGACAGACAGACAGACAGACAGACAGACAGACAGACAGACAGACAGACAGACAGACAGACAGACAGACAGACAGACAGACAGACAGACAGACACAGACAGAGAGACAGACAGACAGACAGACAGACAGACAGACAGACAGACAGACAGACAGACAGACAGACAGACAGACAGACAGACAGACAGACAGACAGACAGACAGACAGACAGACAGACAGACAGACAGACAGACAGACAGACAGACAGACAGACAGACAGACAGACAGACAGACAGACAGACAGACAGACAGACAGACAGACAGACAGACAGACAGACAGACAGACAGACAGACAGACAGACAGACAGAGAGACAGAGAGACAGACAGACAGAGAGACAGAGAGACAGAGAGACAGAGAGACAGAGAGACAGAGAGACAGAGAGACAGAGAGACAGAGAGACAGAGAGACAGAGAGACAGAGAGACAGAGCAGACAGAGAGACAGAGAGACAGAGAGACAGAGAGACAGAGAGACAGAGAGACAGAGAGACAGAGAGACAGAGAGACAGAGAGACAGAGACAGAGAGACAGAGAGACAGAGAGACAGAGAGACAGAGAGACAGAGAGACAGAGAGACAGAGAGACAGAGAGACAGAGAGACAGAGAGACAGAGAGACAGAGAGACAGAGAGACAGAGAGACAGACACAGACAGACACAGACACAGACAGACAGACACAGACAGACAGACACAGACAGAACAGACAGACAGACAGACACAGACACAGACACAGACAGACGACAGACAGAGACAGACAGACAGAACAGACAGCCAGAGACAGAGACAGAGACAGAGACAGACAGACAGACAGACAGACAGACAGACAAGACAGACAGACAGACAGACAAACAGACAGACAGAAACACATACACAGACACAGACACAGACACAGACAGAGACAGAGACAGAGA